GATGATCTTAGTAAACAGGCGGTGGCATATCGACAAATGACATTATTGTTACGCCGACCCTCAGGCAGTGAGGCTTTCCCAGGCGGTGTTGGAAAGATGAAATAAAAGATTGCGAAGATGGTGATTGAGTTCTTGGTCGTTCTTGGTGGTGGTGGTGGTGGTGGTGGTCCTGCGTAGAAAACAAACTTGGAGCACTATTTTCTGTTTTTCATGGTTCTTGAGTGATCCTATTGATGGCAGTAGATCTCCCATAAACGGGGATCTGCAGAACCGGTGGTTCTGTTGGAGGCTATCATAGTTACGTACTGTTGTAGTTTTTTATTTTCAGATTATTGTCTTAATCATTCATTTAATTAACTTCAATGACAAACACAAATCTTTGAATTTCCTACACGTGGCACTATTGAAAAGTCCTCTGCAATTTTTTTTTTTTCTTTTTATCGTAGGTGAAGTGTGCCATTTTTTCAGGTTCATAAGGTCAGACTATATAATATTACCACCTATCATTTGACAATATTTTTTTTATCAGTACTTATCAGGATAATTTCATACATTTTATTAATTAATTAATTAGTAAATGACTTTTTTCCACTCAAATAATGACTTAATGATATTTTTACATCCACAAATTTTTAAAATACTATTTTATTATCTAAATTTATATTATTTTTTTTATTCCGACATCATTGTGACCCAGTATCATCACCATTCTCTTCCTTGATTATCACTTGATAAAACCCCTCAAACCCTATTCCTATTGACCTCATCAATCGTTAGCAGTCGAACGATTAGGTTTGAGTAGCCGTCTCTCCCAAGTCAAATTCCAATCAATCCCAATAACCAAAATCCAATCTTTCACCACCAAAAGACTCATCAGCTTCCACTCTTCAAAAGCCACAACAACTTGGATCGAGTTTGTTCTCTGTTTGTCATTGAAATATAAATTTAGATAATAAAATGACATTTTAAAAGTCTGTGGGAAGAAAAATATCATTAAACCATTATTTGGGTTGAAAAAGTCCTTTAACTTTTAATTAATCGAAGATAATGTTATGTTAAAAGAACATTTTGTTGTGCCGCCTCATCATGTTGAATTATCTATAATAGATTTTATTCAATTCACAAACCAATGACATCTTTATTCCATTTGCATCATTTTCTCCTATCGCCCATGGTCTTTGACTATTGTCCGTATTGCAAGCTTTGAAGCGGTGTTACAAATGAAAATACTTTGAAACTCCAAATCCAATGAAGTTTTATAGAAGTTGACAAAACACCGTAAGTAGCCTGATATCGAATTCTACAGTCTACACGTAGACGGCCTTACATTTGTAGCCGGAGTGGTCCTTGCGTTTTCATCTCTCTGTATATAAACTGGTTCATATCAGAAGAAAAGGATATATCAAACTAAAATGGCGAGAGAGTTGTTGGTTATTGATGGCAGTGGCCCTGCAGGAAGCAATTTTGGGGCACTGTTTTTGCTTTGCGTGGTTGTTGCATCATTCTCAATGATATCGATGGTCATATTCACTTGTGGTGATAGTGATAGCACCTCCAAGAAAGGTAGAAGAGGTAGAGGTGGACTTGTAGGTGGAGGAGGATGTGGAGGCGGAGGAGGAGGAGGAGGAGGATGTAGAGGGGGAGATGGAGGTGGTGGTGGTGGTGGTTGATGAAAGAAACAAATCAAGTGAGCAACTTCTTGAAATTATTTTGTAAGGTGTATTTACATGTGTTATTCGAAAATCATGTATAATTACTAGTTTGTAACCAATGAAATCTTGTATTATATTTAGGAATAAGTCCAGTTGCATCTTACAGTGTAGTTCTTCAGGCATCTTCTAATTTCTATATATATAGGCGGAAAGGAAAAAAAACAATTGTCAAAATGGTGAGAGAGGACTTGGCTTGGTGGTGGTCGTGATGGATCCTATTGACAGCCGTAGATCTCCGATAAACGTGGATGTACAGGACCCGGTGGTTCAGGTGGAGGCTATCATATTTACGTGCTGTTATAGCGTGCAGTTTATTATTTTCTTATTATTTTCCCTTAAAAATAAAAAAATGGATCAATAAACACTTTTAATAATTTTTTCTCATAAATCTTGTAATTGATCAATTCATAATTAATCAAGCAAGATCTATTGTTGAACAAGTAAGATTTATTGCGGGTTGATAAATTGTGAATTGGCACCTTAAGTTCGTAAAAGAAAGTAAAATAGAATGGCTGGTTAAAGTATTATTACCCTGTCTTAATCATTCATTTAATTAAGTTCAGTGACAAAATACCATGCTTTGAATTTCCTACACGTGGCACAATTGAAAGTCATCTACATATATGAACTTGTAAAGCCTTTCTCACTGCTTTCAAAGACTGGTTTGGGAACGGAGCTGAATTGCATTTTTGCTCCGTTTGGTGTTACGTTAAATTTTAATTTAATTTTATTCAATTACGATATTTACTGATTTAATCGATCGAAAAATTAACAACAATTCTCTTCAAATTATTTAGATCTATAAAATGAAAAATAAAAGTTACTCGGTGAAAGATGAAGTTAAAGAATCTTAGTCATAACAATAAGTGAGTGATTTGACGGTAAAAGAACAAAAGAAGTTTTATAAGTTTTTGAGTTTGAGTCTCTTCAAACATTAATAGGGGTGGCCACTATCACTAAAGCTCTTATCCGATCGACAAATCCAAGGTCTCAAAAGACTAATTGAGATGCGTACAAACTAGTCCGATCATCCCCGATAATCAAAAGAAGAAAAAAAAAAAATCTTGGTCATTTTCTTCCCTGCATGTGGTGAATAGCTTCTTCATTTTTATTTTTTCTATTTTGCTCTGCCACTACTATGAGTTTTATATACATTTGAGTCTTTATATAACTCTTGACGGTATGTTTTTTTAATGGGCCGAAAAGAGTTAATTATTTGAACATGGTAATACTAAAGTAAGAAATATTAAATTAATCGAGATCTAAAGGGAGTATTAACACAAACCTAATTGAGTAGGAAACAGGTCAAATGTAAACAATTATTATTTCTCATAATTAATCAAAAGTCGATTTGATTAGTCCAAGAAACTTTTAAACAAATATCATATTTTATAATTAATAATAACAATCGACAAATATGTTAAGGTTATCATTATCAACTCCCCCGTATAAACACACCATTAATTTAGAAGTTTATAATTTAACTATTAGGATTGAGTTGACCTAACAGTAATGGTAGCCCTCCTGATGAATTGGCAACCCATCTAAGCTTCAATTAGCTACAAGTGTTTTTGAATTGCATACAGCAATTACAATCAGGGAAAAAAGAACTGAGGGAGGCACATATTATTATCATTATACTATAATAAATAGTCCTTCCATACATCTCCTCTCAACATCTTTGAGTAAATTAGGAAGAAAAAAGGATTGCGGAAATGGGGAGAGAGGTATTGGTCCTTGTTGGCGGTGGCATCCATGCTCAAATCGAGTTTGATGAACTTTTTTTGCTTTGCGCGTTGGTTGCATCGCTGTGTATATTGCTGATGGTCATATTCAGTACTTGTGCTGATGATAGCACCTCGACCAAAAACGTAGTGGTGGAGGTGGTGGTGATCGTAGTGGAAGAGTCGGAAGCGGTGAGAGTGGTGGCGGCAATTAAAGATAACAGTGAAGATACGGCCTTCACGCGAGATAAAATAAATTAAAATGTAAATAAAAGAGGATTTTACGCCTCTTTCTAGTGTGTTTTCTTACTCTTTGTTATGTGCAATTTATGCGAGTCTGTACTAATTAGTAGACACATCTTTTTTTTCATTTAATATTTCTCTATTCCGATCCTTCCGTTTGGATTGAATAACAAATATATATATATATATATATTACGAAAGAACACTCAATTTCAGCCAAAGAACACTTCACCAACAGAAGCCCCACATTTTATACAAACAACTAAAATTGAGGTTTACAATTTCTTTTAATAACTACCTATACCTTTTAACTCCATTACGAAACCATGCAAAATAACATGAAGGAACAGTGATTTAAAAAAAAAACTTTATGGAAAACCTCACCTGAAATGCAAAGAAACCGAGAAACCACACCAGAACTTTTTTATAATTTATCTAGGCTTCAATCATTGTTCTTAGAAAAAAAATGGAGTTATTGAGTAGATGGTCTTTTTGTTTACATGGGAAACGAGAGAAGTAGGTGGAGAGAATTTTTTTTTAATGGGTTAGACATGAGTGAAGAAAGGTGTGGTCCTGCAAAGTCTTGGAGTCATTTACCCTTTTAGCCTTTTTGCTCTAACCTTAATATAACAGAGTTAGGGCAAAGGGGTAACTTAGATATAGTTTTAAGACAATAAAGGGTATTTTTAATAAAATTTTAGAAAGTTGCAACGTGAGTGATAAAAACGGAAACCCTAGGGGTAGTTTATGACAATATCCCATAAATTAGCACCTTAATTTCCCGATCCACAAATAACGAACCAATGAAATCAATCTTAGCATCATATTTATTGACCGGTAGGACTTCACATCGGTTCGCTTTTGTCGTTTTCAATTCTTTAATCTATGAAGCATTGTTACAGTAAAATACTTTGAAACTTCAAATCAAGCTTTTCTGGATCACAGAAATTTCCACAGCTTGGCTGGCCGGGAGCAAAAACACCTTAAGCAGCAAGATATTTAGAGCCCAACACAATAATAAATATGGTATTATTAAGATTTTTGATTGACTTGTATACAACTGGATATGGTTACATTGTCTACACAAGTGGTCTTCCTTGCATTATTATCTACAAATAGAAGAAAAATTATATCAGAGTTAAAATGACGAGAGAGTTGTTGGTGAGTGATGGCAGTGGGAATTTTGGGGGATTTTATCTGCTTTGCACGGTTTTTGCATCCCTCTCAATGATATCAAAAATCGTATTCATTTGTGGTAGCAGCAGCCTCAAGCAACGAAGTGGTGAAGGTTGCGGTGGCGGTTGTGGTGGAGGATGTGGTGGATGAAGTGGTGGTAGTAGATAAACAAAACACTGAAGGTGTGGCTCCTTTGAGACGGAAATTTATAAATTATTACTCCTCGCAGTCCTCTACTTGTTCGTAAGTTTAGTACTCTTCTTACTGGTGTAAGCTTTCATGTTATGATTTTCTCTTTTTGTATCAGATGTACTCTTATACCTTTAAATTAATTGTCTCATTTATATAACGTCCTAGTAGTTTTGGCTTAATTTTTTGTTTCCTATATCACAGATTCATAGTTTAGAGTTGGATCGAAGAAAGAAGGCTCAACATTTAAGTAATAATAGAATATGATTCCATTTTAATCAACAAAATATATTGATAGAACGTAGTAAGTGCGACGCTCAATTAAAGAAGGCGGCACGTTCACCATCAATTCAAATGAACAATATAACTACTAAGGGATATTAATTCATAATCTTCAAATCTAATTATCCATATAAACTTGAAGACAAGTACTTAAAAGATCTCACTCCTATGCTCAAATTGACATGGTCAGATCCTAAGTACTCGTCTCAAATCTACCCTAATTACTGCAATTCTTTTGTTAAATCCCAGACCTCAGTTTGGGTAAAATCTTTACGTTTTACGCAATTTAAAGCTTGTTGACTCGACCAAGAGGATGACACAGCAAGAGAAAGTATTGTGTTGATATCTTTTGAGCTTTGCTGGTGATGATTATTCATCTTAGTTTCCCCATTATCCATTTTGGGGCATAAACTCAACTGTAAGTCGGTTGAACATTTCTCTTTAAACCTCTCATTCTCAGCTCTTTCTTCAGCGTACAGCAATTTCTCATTTATGCATTGCGCCTGTTCTTTTTGTAACCTTTGAGCTTGCATTTTCGAAGGTTCCTTAAATTAAGAAAATAAACAAAAGGAAACAATTAGCTAGGTTTATTTACTGTATGTGAAAATTTCTTTTATCAAATGAAAATGAGAATTTGAAACTTATTTACATTTTCAATATCCAAAAACACACAAGCTAGCAATTTCCAAAACAATATATTTTCCTTAAAAGAAAGTAGTTGAAAACTTTCACATTTTATTACTTGAGTTTTATCAATTAATTAACAATAATATATATATATTAATTATCACATTTCACATTTTTTTTTTTTTTTGATGAACGAGTTTTGAGTTTTTCAATACAATTATTCTATGTTTCTTTTTTTTTTTTTTTTGTTTCAAACTTATATATTAATTATCCGAAACGGGGCCTAATTTTTTTTATAGGAAGAGAGATGTTACCTCAAGCGGAGGAGAAGTCTTCTCAAACTTGGAGTCGTAGCCAGTGGACGTGAACATAGAACTACATTTATTCTGTTGAAATTGGCCGTCGATATTGATGGATTTGGCCATCCAATTATCCGGCGAAGATTTCACAGCAGAGTTATCATCCCAAGAGCAAATGAATCTACCCTGCTCTTGATTCTCGAATGTTTCACGAGGAGGCCATCTTTTGTCTTCAAGAAATCTACTGGGTCTGATTGGTCCACTAGTATTTCTTGTTATTGCCTCCTTTACATCAAATAGATGTGAATTTGCCAACTTGTTTCCATTTTGAAAGATAGTTGGATCGACCTGGCTCTTGTCAGCACTTAAATCCTTGCTCCACCGTGCAGATCTAGAGAAATGATCATTTAAAGCCCACGGTTGATATCTAGAGAGAGAGAGGAAGAGAGTCAGTGTAATTGTTATGGCGTAAAATTAAGTACATATAAGAAGAAAAAACAAACAAATTCCTAGGCTTGCAGTTCTCTCTTTTCGAGTAAATTAATCAAGTTGTAACCTTGAAGAGTTCGTCTTGAAATCATGATACGGTAGTTTAAGTAGTGGGGACGAAACGATGCTTCTGTTGTCCATTCTATAATGCCCATGACCATCGAACCTATGGCACAATTCCAGAATGTGATGTCTTCCTTGGATCGTTCTATTTGTTTGAGATACAACTATACAAAATAATCAACAATTTCGAGTTCTTAAATCATGCCTTTCTAAAGATGTATGAATATACAAAAAATGAAGACGTAAGGTCTAAAGTGAAGTTTTACCTAGGCCAGACTCATCCAACTTCTTACTTCGATACATCTGAGTTACAAAATGCAGTGTTAGGGAAATGAAAAAGGAGAGTGAAATTCTCAAGAAAATATCAATTAAGAAGCAGCTGGTTTTATTTTATTACCTGCAAGTGACTCTTTACATGAGCAATGCTAAGTCCTTTTACGTTCATCATCTGAAGAACTAATTTGGGAGTTGCTCCTGTACACCATTGAAGGAAAAACCAAGTGAAAAGAAGATCCCAAAAAGAAAAATTGAATTAACAATATATCATATCATATATACAATTACAAAATTTACAAACTAAAGGAAATCTTACTTTCTTGCCCTCCAAGCCTTTCAACAGCATGTACAAAAGCTAGATGGAGATCAGGCGTCCAGCGGAGTCTAGGCATTTTTGATCGAACATATTGTCTAACCATAGTAGTAGTTCGTTCTTTTCCTTCCATATTAGAAGTGTCGGTATGACTTGTAGTAGCAAAATCATTGTGTGGTACATTAGTGGTGCTATCATTCTCATCCATAATTGCCTCTTCGTTCAAGTCAAGGGATGAACACTTATGTGAACTGGTTAAAGAAGATGTCTGGGCCTGAATTTCATTTTCACTGCTCTTATTTTCATCAGAAAACTCGGCCATTTTTTCCATTGATCTTATCTTCTTAACTCACACCATAGTCTTCTATGCTTGTTGGTCTCGACTAGTTCACTGTTAGAGGGGAGATGAAGAAGATATAAATAAGTTATCTACATAAATGATAAATCAAATGCTCTAGGCATTATTGAGGATATAGATGAGAAGAAGCCAATGATTTGTGCAAAACCTGGACGCTTAAAAGAGTAAGAAGTAGCCCTTAAAACTACTCTGGAATCCGGATATTACCTTCCATGGATATCTTTACCGCTCTCCATTTAAACGGTAATTGAAGGGGCATATTGTACTAATGAATGCCCTATAGAGATCGAAATACATATGTTATGGGTGGCAAAGGTTCCCTCAAAGCTCAAACCATTTCTATCTTGATGAAGTGCTTCAAATTCATCTGAATAAACACTTTAAAAAGATATTCGTTCCACCCAACTCAAGGTTCTTATCAAGAACAAATTCGAAAGTTTTAGTCAAAACTAAAGTTTGGCTTCATCTTTCTTCGGAAAACCATAAAGGTTTCAAATTAAAACCTGACATTACAAAGGTCATAATTATTTTTTCTTCTTTATCTAAATATTGAAGAAGCTCACAAGCAAAATTTAATAGTTAGGAAAAAACTGAAAGAAATTCAAAACTGATCACATGAACAGCTAGCAATGCGAATTCATCAACCTATAGTCAATAAATCTCCTAAATAACAACTCGTTTAATCTTTTATATGCTTACAAAAAAAAATCTAGAGTAACCACTGGAACTGATTATGAAGATCGTAATTAGTTACTTTCCTCGGCCTAAATTCTTATTAGCAGATTAAAAAGAATAATATAATTAGTTCATTGACAAGTATCCAAGAAATCTTCAAAGCAAACCCTTGGATCCATCAGAAAATATGCTCAAAAACACCTAGCCACACTCAAAAACAGTAGATTAACAGAAGGTTTGATCAAAACTTACCCATTAAAGAATGGAAGAGCGCCGTATCATGGATCCAAAAGTGAACAATAGTCGAATTGAGCATGCAAAGAGAGACAGACAGACACACTCACACACAGAGAGGAGGGAGAGAGAGAGCTTTTACTGTGAGGTATTATTGCTCCCTTTTATTGAAATATTCAAGTTTCAATTGCATATGTGGGACTTTTTAATTGTTAGGAATATGCGGAAAATAATCTTCACCTCATTAATCATCACCCTTCAAATGTTCTTTAAACTTCAATATGCTATATATAATATGCTCGATAATGTGTATATAGAAGACAGTGGTCGGACACCAAAACTTCATCTCTTTACACTAGAATTATAATAATATAATGAACATCCACTTTGACTGTTGAAAAACATGTGACTTCTCGAGCCTCTCCAGTGATCTCTTTGTTTTTTTACCGCAGTTTCCCATCTCTCTCTCTCTCTCTTTCCAATCAGTGATAATCTTTATAAGTTGACCTTTGCTGGGGACTGAACACTGTTTTGTCATTACACATTAACAAAATTCCATCTTGGTTACTTCATTAAAATATTAATATTGATACATTGAGGGCGCTGTGGGAAAGGTAGAGCATCAAACGAACCCTACCATACCTGATACCTATAAATAATTTTCTGTCCTGTCTTATTTTAACAATAATTTTCTGTCCTATTATTCTGACTGTTCGTTCCATGTGGTTTCTAGTTTATGTTATATATGTTTTGATCACTTGGTTGGTTTTGTCCTGATTTGAAGACTTTCAAATAGTGGATACAGCTGAGGAAAGGAGCCTATACTTGAATTAGAAAAATTAATTGCGGGTTATATTCTGATTAGCCTACGTGTGGTCCTGTAACTTAAAAGAATAACAAAAAACAAGAACACACAGTCGCCAATAAAAAGAACAAATTAACATCTGATTATGATTGCACCGCCGGTTGTAATATTAATGTTGAAAAAGCTTATATAATTTAGAGTTAGTTAACTTTCTTTATACATATGTCCTTAGGACGACATCATGTCTAAATTCTTGGATGATTCACCTGTTTTTGCCGTATCTGAACTTCATTAGGGCAACACCTGCTACTTATATATAATGGAATTGCAATACATATGCTAGTCTTAGTTGCCACTCGCCAGTCAGTAATCTATATATGAAAACCATTCCAGGGTTTGATCGTTCAATTTATAATATACATGAAAAGTATATACTCAACTTTGTTTAGAAAGAATAAAAAAAAATCAACTTTGGCAACAGATATATTAGGTGGTGATTGTTTATTAGGGTTTCATTAGGGTCCAGTTGACTCCGAGAGAGAATCTGATCTGATTGTATAATAGACTGACAATGACTGAAACAAAAAATTAAGTTCATCGGGAAATTTAGACTGTTGATCAATAACTCCACACCGGATTTGAAATTGATTGCTCAATGATCAATACTGCTGGTTTTTGCCTGATTGCTTTCCATGAAAAATTATGTTGCGGACTCAAAAGTCTTTGATTTATTAAGTTAATTCGTTTCATCTTTGGCTCTAAAACTGCAGTAATAAAGATCTTCTAGGCAAAAATTATAACCTAGTTCGATCAGAGGTCACAAATCAACCATTATAAATATATGTGAGAGCTGGTAAAATTTCTTATGTCGTCTTTAACTCTTTTGAATAATTTTCTCTGCTATGATGGCTGAAGTGATCGATCAGCGAATGGCTAGTTGAGCAATATGGCTTCTAATTTATCATGAATTTCTAAATAAAATACTATGGTGTGATATGAACTAGTTACTGTACGTTAGGTCAACCACTACCTAGCAGAGTGTCAGAAAATTCAATTTTACGTATAATATAAATTAAAATATGATCTATGCAGTCAAAAGACCGAAAGATCTTAGGATAATAAATATAAAAAGTGCGTTAGATATAGATTGTTAACCAGTATATTATCTTACCAGTAACAATAAAAAATCCATAGTTCTTCATTTTCATGAAATGTGAAGGAAGTGTTGGCCTTGATTTCTACTTGATTATACACAATTAACGTTCGGTAAAATTGGAGCACTTTCATTGATATGATGGTATTTAATTCTGTTCTGGAATTGTAGATTTTTATATTCAATAACATTTTTGGTAACAATTAAAGAGCAGCACTGAAATATAAAATCAGGGATGTGACATTTTACACTCATCCCCACATGTCGACGAAGTTATATATTATTTACCAAGAGAGGTTATAGATTAATCTCAAATAATCAAATATCATCAAAAGGAGAAACAATTTGGTGTGAAACAAGAAGGTAATAATTAATTAATTCTTGCATGAACAGATGGAGCAGTGATTAATTAATTTAGGTGAAAAAAGTGAAAGATAGTAAGAAATTGTTTATTGTTTGGTAAAAAGATAACCGTGACTTTTCTATTTCATTTGATTAGTTCCTTCATATTGTCTCTTTTTGATCTTTTGGGGACTATCAGACTAGCCATGCATGGATGGAGATATCATTTTTCCTACCTTCCAAGGATTTACTTTCCAAGGCGTCTTGGAGAGAATTTGAACAATTTGTCTTGACATGAGGGAGATTTATTGTTTATTAATGGGAAGAAGAAGAATCATTTCCAGAGATTAGGTTCTTGCTAAACGACACTCAAACTTAACTGGAAATGCGTGACATTTTTATGTGTGCATGTAAGGCTAATTCATGGAGGCAGAGGGAGATTCTTGTGGGTAATGAAGACAAATATTCGAAGGATTAAACTAACAGTTTTGATGGGGAAGAGTATGCGGGAGAGAAGGAGATTGGGTTAAGAACATAAGGAATTCTCTTAGCTCTACGTACCAATATAAAAAAAATTAATACATGTTCTGTCTTGGGTTGACATTTTTCATATTTTAGTACGTTTTCCGAGCAACAAAGAATCTTTCTCAGAATTTCACCTCTTATTATATATTCTGCCGGATGGTTTGGAGTTCCAATCCTATTTGCAAATTGAAAACACTGCATAAATTCACACAAAACCTGCAATATATTTTAATCCATGTATACATTCTCCATGTTGATGGCCAGCTAAATCATAATTAGTGTTTATAAGATGTATATGCCATTCCCATTTTCCTTGTTTTCTAATAACAATTTGGATCTTGAAATCAATTAGCAAAAGTTGGACCTGAAGGAGTTAGTCTGATCTCTGATGGTCAAAGAGGTTTGCTCAGTTCTTGAGTTCAAATTTTGAAACCACCTACCACAATAACATTGTGGTTTATCTGGTTCTTTGGGTTTATCGGATGTTCAATGAATCTCGGAGATTAGTTGAGATACACGTAAATTGGCCTAGACATCCCGGTTACCAAAGAAAAAAAGTAGGAGTGGGAGGCCTTTTATGACAAATTTTCACCAAAATCACTTTTTCAAATATTATTTATATTACTTAAAATATTGTTGTAAAAAAAAATGTTTATTAAATATCAGTTAACTAAAAACTACTATATGATAGACATAAATTAAAATGATTTCGACCGCTTGATCAAAATCCCCAACAAAAGTCTAAACTAATTGAGAGAAAAATTGAAGTTCTGTACAATTAGAACATTAACCTTAAGTGTATAATTTAAAGAAGGAAACAACTAGCACCCCAGCATTAGGAATAAAAGCTAGTTTTGTATAATAATTAATAATTAAGGTATATAAAAATGGAGTGTATAGTAATGTAATCTTAACATTTGTCAATGGTTTTGCGAGTTTGGTGTATGAGACTTGAAAAAATAAACCAGAGATCCAAAAACGTGATATGCTCATACTACTGAAATATTATTCTCAAGGTATATTCAAAAACTGAAAACGCTAATGCGAAGAATATATGGTCAATTAATGAACATGCATCGCAATCAATATCAATAATTTAATTAATTAAATAATGTGTTGTTTCAAGATATACACTATGATTTTGGTTATACCTTTGAAAAACCTGGAGTTGAGGCGATAAAGAATAATATTAATGAGTAGTAGTAATCTTGTAGAGTTGGATACTGCAAAGAATCTAGGTGAGGAGGTCTCTGTTGTTGTTGGCTAAAGAGACGCCGCGAACATAGGCACCATATGGGATCTCGCCACAGAGACAAAGACGACGCTCAGTACGTCTTGTTAGGTCACAATCACATGCATTTCCATCTTTAATTATTTGTAAGCATTTGCCAAGAACGCTAATTTATTGTAAATAAATAATCAGGCTTTGTTCATCCCAATGTGTGGCTTCATTAAATATTGATTAGTTTCACAATTTCATTAACCCTTATTGGCCTTTTAAAATATTACACCTAACTGGGTGTGAGATTATAGACAGGTAAAACTATGCTTCCCCCCTAGAACAAACAACGAACAATACAGAATTGCAACCAGAGAAGAGATAACAGCCTTCTATACAGAAATTCCCCACGTCCAGAGGGGCAGCGATCAAATAATATAGAACAATCTCGATATTATTTGATGTGTGACAGACAGAGTTGTCGTAACTTACTACTTTTGAGTTTTGACATAAGAAAACAAATTTGACTTGATGTGTGATGTAACAGAGAACAGACAACTGAAGTCGGGATTAACTCAAGCTCCAACTAAACCCTAATCCTCTTCAGCTTGCAATCCCCCACTCTCCCTGACAGTGACAGAGTGACTACTCACTGTTTAACATGCTCAGTCAGGTCAGGCTGACCAATGCACAACCCAGCCATCAAACACAGGCAATAAAAGTATATCAACTGCTAATTGTCATTGAACAAACAAATTCAAACAAGAATATAATCCGGCAACAGCTCTTCTCAACTTTCAAGTCGCTATCTCACTAATAAAGGGTGAGGTCAGTAAATCAAAGGACTACATTGGCAGTAATAATATGTACAAACCCAATGCCTCAATTACATGGCCCAAAAATTAATTATTGCCTAGGCTATTGACAAACCATAAACAATTTCCCCTCTATTTTTCCATAAGTTGAAGAGCCAATATCATTAGAATGGATGGTACACCAAATCAACAATTCTCAAGTTCTAATAACCGGACCCTTGTACAGCCCTCTCCGAATCACAAAGTTGTCAGGGGGTTGAAACTCTTCTAACCAAGCAACTTCTGAGACTGTCACTCCATTCACTTCAAGTTCACCTTCATTTAAGCAAGGAAAAATAGATACATAAATACAACTAGTTAAGCCATGATTTAAGGTAATAGCAATCTGTAATAACAGCCATGATTACCTGGAAGATCCCTTCTGGGGGACCTCCGAAAATAAGTGCAATGTCTTCCATGATCTGCAGAGTAAGGAGGAGAGAGGATATCAAAGATAGCACAGGGAGTTATAGCTTTGAAACAATGGATGTTCCCTCCACTCGTGGGATAGAGAGTTGTTGCCGCACAAGGAGCTGTCATCTCATGATCTTTAACAATCTTTGCAGGTCTCGCTGCAAACCACCATTCATAACAAATGTAAATAAGTCAAAAGTTAAAAATGAATATATCTATAGCCATCCATCTTGTGGAGAGGGTAAGAGAAGCTCAATTGAGATAGATAAAGCAAATGCAATTAAAAGGAAATGATATATCGATCGAATAAAAACATATAATGCCATCACAGGACTCACAAGAAGTCCTTCCTGTAAATAATTGTGTGCCCTAATGTATTGAAACATCTTTATTTAATCAATCAAAATATCACAAGCCTCAAATATTCCTCTTCATGAAAAATAAAGAATGTAAAAATCTTGATTTCTTATATATTATATATCCTATACCCAAGTACATAACCAAAATCATCCAATACTATTTCTTAAATCACACGACTGGGTTTGTAGAATTCAATATTACAAGTAACTTTACCAAAAAGAAAAAAAAAAAAAAAAAAAAAAATTAGATCAAACAATAATAGCAATATTAAATTAGTGATCAGTGAATTAATCAATTAGCAGGTCCCCGAACCAAAGACAAATATAGGGTACATGCCAAATGTAATTCTTGCATATCACGGGAGATTTAAACACCAAGTCAAAATTCAAATTAACACAAAACTTTTAACATCAAAAAACAACTTGAATTATACTTACCAGGCAGTTGAATGATAAAATCTTAAAGCATTCTCAACTTTGTTAATAAAAGAAATATAAACAGCGTAAGAGTGTCAGCTAGCCAGACTCTTTGGAAGCCGTTTTCCCCACCATTAACTCCCTTAAAATTATTCCAATGAAAAGCAGAATCTTATACTACCAAAAGATATTAATATCAATATTGTCTTCCCTTCATAGGCTCCCTCTTAGCTGTCAATACAGTACAGATTGAACTAGAATTTTCTATGAACTATAGCACATCTAGAGTTATAATTTTATTTTTCATTTTAACCCCATGCAACTCCCCAAGGCCCCAACTCTGGTTCAGTACTTAATCTCAAGACTTGTGCACAACAATAACCTACAAGCTAAAAAGATAGCACTCGTATTTAGAATCACTACTCAAATTAAAAAAGCTTTCAATCCCCTATGCAAGGGTCATATACTGATATAAGAGCACTTTCAATTTATCAATGTTCAAAATTATCAATACGTATTCAATAAATCAACTAAATTATCAATACGTATTCAATAAATCAACTAAGTCATTGGTAATCTAAATGGCAAGGAATGGCTGAAGTTTTTAATGAAAAATTATTTGTCTTAATTATCCAGGTCTGCACCCAATCAAAAGATCATGTAGTAGCTAGAAGAAAAATATCATGAAGAGAAGACTTCAGGATTTCCATTCGAAAATGCAATATAAATAAAGTGAGAAGCTGTAGATATCTTAATGACTAAAGCAAGTACTGCTGAGGCTCCAGAAAAAGGGAACTGCAACAGTAATAAATCATTTGGAGTTAAAGCAACTTTAGGTCAACTCCTCCATCAGTACATGTTGTACTATCAAGTTTAGTACATTCAAGCCCTTGGCACACGAGAATGCCACACTTTTCCAAGAAAACTCAACTCAATAGAATTTAATCAGAATAAATCTCATATAAAAGTTAGGGCCTGAAGAACAACTTAGGTATTTCCAACATTAGTAATTCAATAAAAATTGCAAACCATTTTGTGTCAGATTGACACTTAGCAGTTGAATGTCAACCAAATACACTAAAAATCTTACCCATCCTAACAAGTAAAAGGAGTCAATCTGCCCATCTACTGTAGAAAGATACTAACCATGGCTTCTGACATCTCCAAGCTGCCTATCTAACTCTTGGTTTCCAATATAGTATATTAATTTAATGGAAAAAATAATTACAATAATATCATTCCCCATCAGAAGTCAATCAACTTGATAAGTAGAACATAAAGATAAACGGAATTACACAACATTCGTAAATCAAACCATATACATATTATCAAGATAAAAATGCAAAAATCCTTCCATGATCAATTAACAGAAGAGCAGCAGATCCAAAAAGATAAGCAGGTTTTTAGGTTTAGACAAAATATTCCTGTGGTTGACACAATTCCAATTCACAAAACAAATTACTATGTTTCACTAAGAAATAAATATTCATCAAGCAGAGTGCAACTTAGTTCTAAAACCATGGGCATAGTCTTGTGTATTGTTTACAGGCACAACAGAACTAGCATAATCAATTAAAGTGGGAGAGACAATATACCATAGAAACACACCTTGCATTGATTCAGCAGGCTCAGGCAAACCAAGCCAATCATAGGACTTCACATGTAATGAACCGTAGACAAGCTTGCTCAAAACTGTCATTCCAGGATGATTATGGAGGGGTATGATTGATGAAGGCGGCATGCAAAAAATTCCTATCTGAGAAAAAAATAAAGATTTAAGAAAAATGAATCTCAGTAAGTCAGTTTCAAGTTTCACAATTATACTTGCAATAACAAAAAAACATTGATTTTGTTTAGATCAACGTAAATTTAAAACACAGAGCATAACTTCCAGCTGAGAAATAAATATGTAACTAAGTAACAGGCAGTTTGCAGCCTGTGCTTACAGAGAAACTGTCACACTCATGTAGATGCAAGTATTTGATTGGTGCCAAAGATTGATGCCTCCCATTACGTTCAAGCATAGGACCTGGCCAATTACGCACCAATTGAGCCTCCTGCTCGAGGCCAACATCAGAAGGCTTGATTTTGTCTGAAATAAAATTATATCTGGGGTTAAAATGTGAAAACTAATAGGAATATGTACTGATGCTGACAGCAAAAACTTAGAAATTTAATGTCAGCATTAATATTGGAAGCAAAAATTAAAACCTCTATAAATATAATCTCACTTACAATTTCACAAGACTATAAAGCATAGTGCGCAACTAGGTTACACACATTAATCTTAATTCATAGCACAATTAGCCTGTCAAAACCTTGTCAACCAAAGGATTAAAAGATGGTACCATAGTAGAAGCACATGCAGGTGATATAAGAAAATAATAAATAAATGTATAAAAGAAAAAAGCAAGTAACACAATGTACAGAGAGGAAGCTATAATGCATCTTTATCAAACACAAAACGTAAACTAGCCTTTCTTATCATACATTAAAATAAATTAATAACTTCTTTTAACTGATTCCTACAACAAAAAGCTAAAGAACTCACAAGTCAAGGTATCTAATAAAGATTGTCAAAAGACAATTCTCAGCAAAATGAGCAGTGGAATTTTGCACTAACTACACATTCGATTTACAGGTTAGTCAGGGCCCACGGTAAGTTACACATGGATAGCCTATGTAAATGATCGATGGTGCCACATCAATACATATTCAGTAACACTCAAATTAAGCCATCTCCCCAACCAAATCATCAAATTTGATCCAAAATGTAGTAATAGACTTAACTAACTATGTCACAAAGACTACTTTCTCATCCAACTGGGTGATTCTTCGCAAAAATCAATTAAGCCCATGTCACATGCACATTCACAAGAATAAAAAACTTACAAAATTTTAATATAAATCTATCCAGAGCATTCTAGATTGAAAAAAGCTCATAAATTAATACATAATAACAAAATAAAGAGCCCGTTCTCAATACCTAACATAGTTCGAACTTTGTCCAGGGCTTCTTCGGAAACTGGCCCATTTGGCGAGAACGATGCTTTGCAAGTATTGTAAAGTCTCTGTATGTAATATGGCATGATGTAAAGACGATACCAACTTAACTGAACTAGTTTCAGTAAGCCGATAACGCCTTTTCTAGAAACTCACTAGCTGAAATTACGATAAAATATGCAATTGAATACTTTGCTCTTTATCTGCGAACCAAATCGACGGTAATAGATCTGCATGACACTTACCTCATCCCTCTCTGCCAATCTAAATTCAACAAACACAAACGAAACACTAATTAAATAGTTGCAACGCATTTCTATTAAAATTAACTAACTAAATTGGACATAAACCATGAAATTTCTAGAACACTCCGATATAAATGTAATAAAATTGAAAGAAATTTTAAAATATTGCAGTGAATTAATCGATTGTTTTCATTTAATTTTCTCTACAATCAAACAAAAAGCAGATAGTACAATAAAAAAAAAAAAATGTAATTTGCGGAAACAACAGCGTTTCAGATTAAAAATAACATGATCGAAGGGCTTTTAAATAGGAATAAAAGAAAAATAGAAATAGAAACAAGCAGTTTGAGGAAAAGAGGAGGCGTATCAGATCGATAGAAAATAGAAACAAGAGTGAGATGTGAGGGGAGAGAGTGCGTAGGATATCATACCTGGGGTGCGCATGATAAATAAAACGCACAGGAGGGGGGGGACTGAGACGATGAGGAAGAATAGAAATAAAGAAGGGATCGTTGTAAGTAAGCGAAGGGAAGAAGAGGAGAAGGCGCAGGAAGATTTTGCACACGTCACTGGTGGTCTCTTTTGCTTGGCCTTTTGGGCTCTGGCTCAGCTACTTGTTACACTTACCTGGCCGTGTTCTGTTGACCACCTAACAGTTAGGCCTGTATTTCCACAGTAATTTACGCTTCTACCCTTTCTCAAAACTGATGTAATTTTGAACTATTGTACAAAAGCCACCTAGAAAGTATCTAAGAGGAGTTAATGCACATCACAAAAGGACATTAATTCAAATATTTCGGCATATATGGTGGTTTATTGTTATTATAAAGTAACGTTACACATTTTCGTCCAATGGCTAAATTTAAATTTAATTTGTTTGGAATTGTAAAGTTAAATATTGACATAATAAAGTCGGTGATAATGGGAAACTTCATATAAATACAAAATTGAGGCTGAGTCATGGGTGTCAATCAATAAATAAAGAAGTACTAATTGAAGAATTAAAGTTACACGGTTACACCTCAAGTTTTGCATTTTTGTTGATAAATTAATTTATTATTCTTTTTACTAATTCAAATATTGGTAGGTGATCTCTCAAACATGATAAAAACAAGCATAGGAATATTAACGTTAATTCTATCATCTAACAAGTTCACATGTCTATAATTTCGTCATGAAGCCCACTTATTGTTTTGGTAAAATTTTATCTACTTCAGAAAATTGAAATTTCTCCTTAATTAGTAGCCGCCGGACGTGGGCCGGCCTTTGTCATTAATTGATGAACAGACAAAAGGCAGATTGGCCTCTCAATTTAACAACGATAGAAGAATCAATCTCTTTGTATAAATTAATGTAATAACCTAATGCATGATTCATTGTCACACTATTTAGTTTAATTTATTACATTATTCATTAACGGTAGTATTATTCTGAATAAGAAAGTTAGTTAAACTGAAATATTCCATGTTATTATTCCAACTTGAACACCGAAAGTTGGAGCACAACCCGAAAGGATCCAACTTTATAAAAATAAAGTTACTGGAGGAATCTATTCTATATAATGAAAAAGGATGCATTATATGTTTTGTATTGATACTCATTTAAACCATAAATACACCAAAAATTATCTCGTATGTTGTTACAATTACGGTATTTTATTTTTCTCATCTTCGTTCAATAAATTCGTTTAATAATATTTTCAGTAATTTCTACTATCTTTGAATTAATTTAAAATCTTGAAATCAAATCTATTTCAATTAATTAGTATAATTTTAAATGTAAAGACTGACTCAACTTTGCACAATTATTTATTTGTAAATTGTAAATAATGGCAGGCAGGTTTGGATGGATTTCTGTAGCTCATCAAGTTGTCCCCCGGAGTAGTCTAATGTGGAATGGTTTCTTTGTCCCAAGGCATTCTTTTATCACTTGACTGGCCTTTTAAGTCCAAACTCCTCAGCCAAGATAAAATGAGACATTGGCGAAATGATGCTGACCTTCTTTGCAAATTCTGTAGCATGGTTATGGAGACTCATGATCACCTGTTGGCTTTTTTTCCAATGTCAGAATGCTCTGAAAATTTGGAAGTATGTTCAAGCTAAGGGGAAGTTCTTTCCTATGTGTGGTAGTTGACAAGAAATTGTTACGTGGTGTGCTAATAAGAGCACCTCTGCCGTTGTTGGTAAATTACTCTTGTGTGCCTCGGTTGGCAAGAAAGGAACTTTTGTATCTTCAAGAACAGTTGTAGAAGCGATGAGAAGCTAGAGTCTATCATTTTGGGAGAAGTCAGGCTTCGGCTCTACTCACTCAGATTCAAGGATAGCCTTTCTGTCTGTCGGTTTGTGTCTGAATGGGACATCCCAATAAAGTGTATCAAAGGTTATGTGCATTCTTCTCATAACTTGGCTGCGAATTTGGGATGAAGTGAGGATGGTTGGGTTGATGAAACTGCTTCTTTTGTTACCGGTTTCTTACTGCCTGTTATTTGCTTGTGGTTAGGATCCAGTTAGTTTGCTTATTAGGATTGGTGATAACATTGTTTTTAGGCCTTTTGATCATATTTGTCTAGCAGGGCTGTGCGCTCCTTTTTGGGCGTTCGCCTTGATTTTTTGTGTGTATTGTAACGGCTGGGGTCTGTCTGGGCTATGTGTATAGGCGCTCCTTAGTTTATTTTGTTCTATTTTTGCCCCTTGGGTCTGTCCAAGGGTTTGCAAGCTCAAGGGTTTTTCCCTTTCTTATTTTTGGATAGTAAATATGTATAAAAGACCAAATATACAAATACTTTTTCCCTTTCTTTGTCCTTCATTTTCTTAATATATTTACCGAGTTTATCCCAATAAAATAAAAATATAATAATATAGATATATATATATATAGTACACAGTTTATTTATAAATTGCTTGAATCAAAAAATTCATCAATTAAAAAAAATTTAAAATTCTGCTTATATTAACAATCTACTAAAGTTATTCATATTTACAAGATTATAGGGTTATATCAGATACCTCCCCTGAGGTATCGGTTCCCTAGATCTCCCATATGTATCAAAAACCCTAAAAACCTCCACGACATTTCAGTTTTATCAAGTTCCCCCCCGGGAACTGTTTTCCTATGGTTATAACTTATATGAAGGCCACATGAAACATAATAAATGTTTCGCTAATAACGCATGTATGCATTTTTGCTAACAAAAAAAAAAAAAAAAAAAAAAAGATAATATAATATTAATTAATTCCACATACTTTGGTTGAAAGGTACAATTTTGATAAACTATGATAGTTAGCATATTAATTTTCTTTAATTAAATTTTCGTCTATATCGTCAGAAATAACTACATGTTTTTGATTTTTTTTTTTTTTAATTAAAATTAACAATATAAAATAATTACATTGGCAACATCTAACCCAACTGATGTGAGTCGAAAATTTGCTGCACAGTTTAGAAGAACCAATTTCTCAACCGAACATATAGGAATTGTTTTTCTTCATACTGCTTTTTCAAATTTGAAAATAACACCTCTACTTATTTTCGAAAGTAATTAAGAACACCAAATACATCTTCACCTCCGGTCCAGTCCACCACAACCAGCTATTGTTCAAACACAAAATTCAATTTCTTACTTTACAGCAAACTCCACCACCATCATCGCCAAAAACAATTGAAAAGTCAAAACCCGACTGAACCACACCACCACCACACATAGAGAATAAGATTAGGAGGCCACGTCTTCTTATTTATGTGGCTTTAATTCCTTTGTTTGGTTGGCAGCACGTTTCTTAATTCCATTGGTTTGTTTATTGAGAACGATTTCAAAAGTAAAATTAATCCACGAGACCAACTTAAAAAAAATAGTGAATGCCAAGTTTAAGTGGGTTTTATCTTCTTACACTAGTCTTTATTTAAATCAAGTGGATCGATATTTTCAAAGAAGAATTATTAGTATGTCAACTCTCAAAGGTTAAATAATGTGTCATGTTTATAGGTAAGTTTTTAAAGCTTAGCGAAGAGGTAATCTTGGAAACCAAATTTATAACGTGGAAGTTCCTATACATGTTTTAGGAAACTTTCATAAGATTTCAAAACATATAAAGTGTGGTCTGTATGGACAAAAAATCGTCTTAGGCCTTATCAAGCACAAACACAAAACATCTATTATGTAGCTCAATATCATGATCTAATTCTGGTTAAGTCTATGCTAAAATCCACACCATTAGCCAGCTCATTATACCAATTAGGGCAGACTCCAAAAACCGGTCCTAGGAGGCCTGGTCCCAAAACAGGACCAGGCCTAAGGAGGAGGGCCCGGGCCCTCCTCCAAGGCCCGGGCCTGGGCCTAAATTTTTTTTACCTTTTATCATTTTAGTCCTTTGTAAAATTATATTAAACCCCCTAAAATAAGTATAAATTATAAGGACTAAAATGAAATTTTATAAAATTTATTAAAAAAAAAAAAATTTAACCGTTTGCAGCCAACGGTTATAAAAAATTTTATAACCGTTGGCTGCCAACGGTCAACTGACACCAACGGTTATATTTATATAATTATAAGTTTTTTTTTTTCATTTCCCCCCCCCCCACAAATACACTATAAATAACCCTAAAACCTTTAATTTTTTTCACACCAATCAANCAAAATACATCTTCACCTCCGGTCCAGTCCACCACAACCAGCCTATTGTTCAAACAACAAAATTCAATTTCTTACTTTACAGCCACATCCACCACCATCATCAGCCAAAAACAATTGAAAAGTCAAAACCCGAGCTGAAACCACCACCACCACCACCACCACCACATAGAGAATAAGATTAGGAGGCCACGTCTTCTTATTTATGTGGCTTTAATTCCTTTGTTTGGTTGGCAGCACGTTTCTTAATTCCATTGGTTTGTTTATTGGAGAACGATTTCAAAAGTAGAATTATGCCACAAGACAAAACTTAAAAAAAATAGTGAATGCCAAGTTTAAGTGGGCTTTATCTTCTTACACTAGTCTTTATTTAAATCAAGTGGATCGATATTTTCAAAGAAGAATTATTAGTATGTCAACTCCAAAGGTTAAATAATGTGTCATGTTTATAGGTAAGTTTTTAAAGCTTAGCGAAGAGGTAATCTTGGAAACCAAATTTATAACGTGGAAGTTCCTATACATGTTTTAGGAAACTTTTATAAGATTTCAAAACATATAAAGTGTGGTATGTATGGACAAAAAATCATCTTGGGTTTTATCAAGCACAAACACAAAACATCTAGCTCAATGTCATGATCTAGTTCTTGTTAAGTCTATGCTAAAATCCGCACCATTAGCCAACTCATTATACCAATCAGGCTACTCATAAATTGGATCATCCAATCACTGAAGCCTTACTATGAATTGGGTCTTGTTGTTAGTTCACTTGGGCTTAGACCCATCATCCCATGGCTTTTCCAAAGAACCTAGAGTTCTATTCATATTCTAATTCATCTACTTCCTATTTCATGTATATCCTAATTCATCTAATATCTTGAATTTTGCATGAATTAGGATTGTTACTACTACCAAAGCAAGTAAATCATGACTTTCTCATTCCAAACTATTAAAGTTATTATTTCTAAGAACCACAGTCACCTCTGCCGTAGTTTTAGTTTATGACGTTCAATATGTTGACTTGAGGGCAGACACCATACTGTGTCTCCCGTGAGCTTTACTCCGATGTAAACACTACACTGTGCTCGTCGCGAGCTTTTGTGTTTATTTTCTTGGTATGTGCAGATCCAGCCGATCGTCGCTCAACCGTACAGGATCAACTGTTTCCTAACAGTAGATTTTGCAATCTACATGGTCCAAGTTTTATACGCGTTTTAATCCGGGGATATAGACAAACAAGAAAAGACAACAACAGTCAGTCAAATGATGTGAATGTGCTGATTCAACGTAAAATAATACATCATTTGGATTAATATTTTTATGTGAACAATTTTCAACCACATGGGTCACACTCACACCATTATCATCACAATGAAGACTCTATCTTCATAAGACAAAAACACCACGCTTGATTTTTCCTGGATAAGATCCCCTACACTCTGCTGCAAACCCTACAGTCGGATTTATCCATTAATGGCTTCAGCGCAAGAAGATCTTACTTGGCAAGAGCTGTTGGGCAACAACAACTGGGAGAAACTCCTCGACCCACTTGATCTTTCCCTCCGGAAGCTCATCCTCCGCTGCGGCGACTTCATTCAGGCCACCTACGACACCTTCAACAATGACCAGGGCTCCAAGTACTGCGGCAGCAGCCGTTATGGCAAGACAAATTTCTTCGACAAAGTCATGCTTGAATCTGCTTTAGACTACCAAGTCTTCTCCTTCCTTTACGGCATCGTACGTGTCAGTCTCCCTAAAGCCTTTCTCCTCCACTCGATGTCCCAGGAGTCCTGGGACCGTGAATCTAACTGGATTGGTTACATTGCCGTCACTTCAGATGAGAGATCCAAATCTATTAGCCGTCGTGAAATCTACGTGGCGTGGCGTGGGACCACCAGAAACTACGAGTGGGTTAATGTGTTCGGCGCCAAGATGGAGTCTATCGGACCCTTATTAAAGCAGAGTGTCAAAGTTGGAGATAATAGCAGTAGCGACAGTGATGACGATGAGAAAGTCCCTAAAGTGATGCTCGGATGGCTAACTATTTACACTTCCGATGACCCCAAATCGAAATTCACAAAATTGAGCGCCAGGGTACAACTTACGAGGAAGATTAAGGAGTTGAGGGAACGATATAAAGACGAGAAACTAAGTATAATCTTTACAGGGCATAGTTTGGGGGCAAGTTTATCAGTTTTGAGTGCTTTCGATCTGGTAGAAAATGGCATCACTGACATTCCTGTATCAGCCTTTGTTTTCGGCTGTCCACAAGTTGGAAACAAAGCTTTCAACGAGAGGATGAAACAGTATCCAAACCTCAAGGTTTTGCACGTAAGAAACAAAATTGATCTTATCCCTCACTATCCAGGGCGATTATTGGGGTATGTGTATACAGGAACTGAGCTTGAGATTGATACAAGGAAGTCTCCGAGCTTAAAGGATTCGAAGAATCCCAGTGACTGGCATAATTTGCAGGCAATATTACATATAGTAGCCGGATGGAATGGAGAGAAGGAAGAGTTTAAACTGAGAGTGAAGAGGAGCGTGGCTTTAGTGAACAAGTCGTCTGAGTACTTGAAGGATGAATTGTACGTGCCTGGTTCATGGTGGGTTGAGAAGAATAAAGGAATGGTGAGAGATGAAGATGGAGAGTGGGTTCAGGCTCAACCAGCTGAGGAAGACCTACCTGTTCCCGAATTTTGACTGTTAAGTGATGAGCCCACAGCCACTCTTTTGAACTTTAGGTGTCGCCAACTCTTTCTTTTTAAATTCAGTTTCTTATCCACATTATGTGTCTCATTTGTATTCCGTGTGTCCTCCATTGGTGAATTTGTAGAATCATTGAACGTGTCATCTTAATGATAAAATTTATTGTTATATATATATATATATATATATAGTATAACCTCTTTATAGTCATAATGGTGGGACTAACTAATTTTTATTATTATAAGAAGGTTACAATTGAATGGAGATGTAATTACAAAAATTATAGTTTTGATTTCTTATATTTTAATTCATGTTTTAATAGTACAGTATTAGGATTTCAATTCAGCGCTTTAATTGCCTACTTTTGAAATTGATTGAAGACCGTGTCTTGGAACCAGCAAAAATAAGTGTCATTAATAGAACTATAAATGTAGTTGATGCATGGTCAATTGATGTGAAGCCAAGATAATTGCTAATGGTTTTAAGCATTGCAAAATTAAGACCCTCGATTTTGATGAATTGCAAGTTACAAATGAAGTAGATAAGAAAAATAAAAAAGCCATTGCAAAATTGAGTGATCAGATTCGACAATTTCACCACACTAATCAAATGGATATTAATGTCTTCATTGATCATCCAAATGAGCAACAAATCGTGTATGCTTTAATTGAAGAAGAAATCATTACTACCATTAGACAATAAGATAAAAGAAATAATCCTAAGGATGATAGTACGGAAATACAAAAAGTTTCATGCCATGAAGCTCTAAACATGCTTGAGAAGCTAAAAATATTTTGGCTTCAACAAGAAGGTGTCCATGCTAGCAAGTTATTACATACTAGCAAGGTAAAAGATGCGGTAACAACTCTAAAAATATAAATCATTGTCCCAAACAACTTTAGATAAATATTTTATTTCATCTTAAACCTATAATGTAACATAACATATATTTTTGGTAATATACAAATAATTATTACTATGTAGAGGCAACTTTCCTTAAGACGGGAATTAGAAAAATTATAACTTATTACAATGTGGAGTTTATTCTTATTTATAACTATCCCAAATTGAGACTAGAGTTTTTCATGACTATGTAGAGTTTATTCTTATATAGAATATCACTATAGAGAGGTTTTACTGTATATATATTATATAAGTTTGATGAAAGTCTAATGCATTTTGCAACATATTTTATGCGTAAGCCTATCAAAAGTCTAATGTTAGTATATGTTGATGCTGGATTTTGACACCAACGACTCACATGTGCAAAGTGCTAAGCGGGCTTAGAAGTTACACGTGATATGAAAATATGTAGCAAGAGGGTAAATAAAAGACGGTTTTTAAAGTGGTTCAAATGCTCAAAAGCGATTCCTACATCCACTGTAATTGTATTAATAGATGGTTACAGTCAGGTCGCATGTAGCGAGTTAAGTAACAATCTAGAGAGAGAGAGAGAGAGTGTGTGTGTGTGTGTGTGTGTGTGCTGTTTAAGACTAAAGGTAAGCCAATCCCGTAAATGAGAGAGGAGCCCTCTATTTATAGTGGGAAGATTCAAGGTAATAATCATGAGCCTGCAATCTGGTAGGTAGGGCACAATTTCTAACCCGTTTCCCATTGGTTGTCTACACGAGAAATATCCTTAAATTGCGTAGGGTTTGGGCAGGTGGACGATTCCTAGCCACTCGCAAGCCTGACATTCACCTGTTGCACTGAGGAGAACCATACATCTTCCGTCATTGCACGACGTGGCAACGTCTAGACGACAAAAAGCCTCCCTAAATTCTGATTGGCTCTTGCTGACGAGAGTCCACGTCAGCCCTGACTTTTTAGGCATAACAATATATAAATAGTTACAGGGATATGTGACAAGAAATAACTGATTCATTAAGTCGATTAACACTATCATAAATCAAGCTAATTATAAATTTAATGGTAGTGTCGGAGGAATTACTGCTAAATAAATCATAGTCAATTGATAGTTGTCTTATTGAAATACAAATTGGGAGGACGGTGGTCAATAAAATTCCGAAGGATATATTTTAAGTGGTCTAAGAATTGGAGAAATTTACTAAAGGCTGCTTTTAGTCATTCGTTAACGAAAAGTCATTACGGGCCTGATGCATGTTTCCTACAACATGCAAATGTAGCAAGTATACTAATCGCACAAGTAATATAATGATGAGTGATTATCGTTCCCACGAGGATTGTTAGCTAAGCACTAAGTTTCCTACTATTCTTAAGTTGGAGCAATCGATTTCTTTGGATTAATGGGAGCTATTTCTAATTAAAACTAAACAATAAATTTTAAACTAAAATTTACTATGAATGCGAGATGAAAAACACGGATAGAAATTAATTCAAGTGAAACGGGTAGGGTTTTGACTTCATTCGGATTTTATGGGTAAAACCTATAAATTAAACTAAATTCATACTCATATGCATTGATTGTAAATCGAACTCTCTTAAGTGTTAAACATACCTTCTCAGGCTATGTTTCCCTACTCTTCCTTATCAACTTTCCGCACCCAACAAATTGAAAGTTAACAAATCCAAGCTCATTTAGCATAAGAATCCTACAATGATTTCATTGATTTTTGAATCTATCTCTAGCATCCAATACTACAATGGTGATTACCCAAGAAACCTAACATGATTCATTTCTCAATCTCACCATGTTCATCACATATAAGCATTAAAAATTCAGAGTAAACACACAATCCAAGCACAATCATATGAAAAGAAAATAATCAATCACTTAACCCATTAAAATCCGAACTACAATCAAAACCCTAACCCAAAATGGGTTAGTTCATGGCTAAATCAACAACACAAATGAAAGAAACGAAAATATTAAAGTTCAACATAATGAAAATAACAGAAAAGATAAGAAATCTCCCCAAATGATGAATCCTCTAGGTTGAAATCGAATCTTAACCCTTGTTCAACCTCCCAATCTCTCAAACATGAACTCTAAGAAAAAGTAAAATGCTCTCTAACCCTATTCGACCTCCCCTGGAAAAAGGCTAAGTGTTTTCTTTTATACCTCGCCCAAATTTCCCAGAAAAACACGCACAAAGTAGAACTGTGCGTTTTTACAAAACTGGAATTTACGACCGTCACCGCGGTGAAGAGAGAAGCAGACATGTTCGTGTCTGGTGTACTTCGCCGCGGCGAAGCTTCTTGAAAAGTTCTGAAATTACAGAACTGCCACTATGCTTGCATCTTCGCTTGATTCTTCGATCTTCGGTGCTCTCCCTTGGAAGCGAGCTTCATAGTGCTTTATTCTGCTTCAGAACTCTCCCAACTTCTGAGATCCGCTTATTTCTGAGTTTAGAATTTCCAATTTTGTCCTTATTTGCTCAAAATGTCCGTTTTAACTTGAAACACGAAATGTAAATATTTAAGCAACAATTCAGGTTAAAATGAACTAGAAAGTACCTGAAATCCGACTAAAAAGTCTAATGAAAACAGTATAATCCACGGATTTTCAGGGCCTGATTGTAAAAGAATAAAGAAGGATCTAATATAGTTTCTTAAGTTCGGGTCCCCTTGATGGTAAAAAAGTAAGAGAAGAGTCTAACATAATCTCTCGAGTTTGAGTCTCTACGACTGCTAATAGGGGTGATCACTGGAACTTTTACCCGACTGATAGTTCTAGGATCCCGGAGAATTAGTTGGATGCACGCAAATTCACCGAACACCCTCTGTCATTAAAAAAAATAAAAAGGTCTTGTCATTTGCCTCTTCTTTCAAATAAGTTAATTAGGTCGTTAAAAAAATAGTTGAAAATGAATAGTGAATTAGTTTCGATCATCCAATACAAAATTTCAATAGCGGATTTCAATAAATAATTTACTTTTGGTTATATATACAAAATCTCTCATTTTCTATAACTGGATAATACTACATGTATTAAGAAATTTACAAAGATTTATTGTATAAAGTGATGTGACAGGATATTAATGGAAGAGTGAAAATGATGAGTTTAACTTTTGTATTCACTCTTCCATTCATCTCCTATCACCTTACTTTGTACAAAATTTTTTTGTAAATTTCTTTGTACGTCTAACATTATTGTTTCTATAAACCTTGACTGATGACCGGAGTACCATTATCAAAATTAAGCCACTAAAATCTGAATCCATTTGTAATTTTTCAACTCATACACATTAAAAAAAGAAAACGACATATTTCTACCGAGGTTTAGCGAAATCCCAAGTTGATATATCTAGTTGCATTTATTCCAGATTTTCACCCTTAAAGTAATGTTGTTTCTTTTATTTTAACAAATTCCCAACTTTTCATTGTAGTGCGACGCACGTTAGCATGCTAAAGTGCATCAGCGCTTTCTTTGACAGAATATGGGCTCATGTTAGCAAAAAGTGACTCACGTTAGCAATGTCCAAGTTGACGCTTTTTGGCTTTTTTTGACCAATTCCGATGTCCAAAATCACTTCAGAGACCACTATTGGACTCCCTACAACCTCCTCTACAAAACTTATTCCTCCGATCGAGTCGCGACTTGACTTGTTCCGAATGATGTTTGGTCGAGCCGATCGAGCCGCAAGGAGGTCGCAGCATAGGTCCCTAAGAATAGCACAAGTAACCTGCGACGGCCTTCTCCCACAGGTTCAACGACCTGGGTCAGACCGTACTCAGTGCCTTACCAACATGCTTTGAGTCTCATCCGCAGCTCACAACCTGCGAATACTTAACATATTTTTACCGAAAGTAAGGAATCACATCGTCTTGAAACTGATATACGACAAAGAGTGTTTTACTCGAATGACCTCTTCAGATGTTATCCGTTGCGCTTGACAGCTAGTCTAGTCAATAAACTAATTATTTTGACAGACGTATCTATTGTACAATAAGTGTCAGCCATGGGCATTAAATGCAAGTCATGCTAAAACGACATTCTCTTTCAGAGCATTAAATGCAGATGAGGGCACATTTAATGTGGTGGAGATAACTGCGCTGACGCTTGGTTGCTC